CACCCCGCCACCAATATATTGTAATTGTTTAAATTTGTAGAACTTTAATCACACACAGTAACAAATATATGGCTATGAAAAAAATAAAATAAATTTATATTTTGAGTGAGAGAAAGCCCCCCTTCTCTCTCCTCTGTATATCATCCAGTTATCACATACCAATGAGCATTAGTACTTCTCAAGTACATCAAGTTTGCTTTTAAAGGTTTAAACATCAAACTGTGAGAATTAACACAGCGAAAGTATTCTCTTTAGCCTCTCCATTTGGAACATGAAACATTTACATTCTGGGTAACCTTTATTTAGTGTTAAGGCCCACAAGCTTTGGCAGCAGCGGGTAAATATTTGAAGCTAGAGTTCAAGGGTTCAATTTTATTAACTACGGGACCGTCAGAGAGGGCTCAGGCCTATGACAGCACACAGGCTGCCAGCCACACGTGATGCCCCTAAGCTCCTCTAATAAAACCACCTCTCAGCGGTAATGCCGCTCTCTCATCCCGTCAATAGTTTCCAGTCCCACATAGCACCTTTTTTTGGGGGGGAGGAAACCTTTTACGTCTAATGAGTTTTTTTTTTCAAACTGTTCATAGACGCAAAGTTTTATTTTATTAAATTTACATTAATGTTTAAAATTACAACGATGAACTTTGAGTATCTGCTTTTTAATCAGTACTTATAGAAAGTGAAGAAATACTACTGTTGCTCCACCGATTAGCAAAACAACAGTTACACCACAAGTGATTTTCGCATTATTGATTTGTTTATGGTAGCTTCTCCTAACCACTAGGAATGGTAATAGTAATTGGTTAAGAATAAATCGATTTTTTGGTTTAATGCCCTTATATACTCCAAAAGGCACAGGCAGATCTACGGGGGGAGGAGGAGGGCTTTCGAGCTGAAGCTTCCCCCACCCCCCAAAATGGTATAATATAACGATGTTTTACAAAAAAAAAAAAAATTAAAACTATCTCTTAGAGTATTATTGTTCGTGTAGTAACATTTAATAGGACTTCAAGAATTACTTAAACACCATGTCATATAGGCAGTTAGTTTCTATATTTTTTTTTCAAATTAATTATCGTTTATATATATATATATATATATATATATATATATATATATATATATATATATATAATATATATATATATATATATATATATATATATATATATGTATATATATATATGAAAAAAAGCTTTTGGGCTGAAGCCCCCAAAATTAAATCCTGGATTCGCTAGTGCCAACAGGACAGAAACGATGGACTATTCCACCGGTTACCAATCTAGTCCGTGGTACAGACCACTTTTTATCAAATTATTAACACCCGTCTAAAACTTTGTAAATAGTTACTCCTCATCGTAAGCTACAATTATTTTATTTACGAAAATTCTCGGAATTGGGGCTTTTGCAATCTGAAGATCGGCAAAGGTTTTATATTTAATTAGGTACTAAAAACTCACGAATACCCATTTCGCTGCACAGTGGGACGAGTAAAGGAAAACTCGCGACATCTATTTGAATCTGTTTAAATCTATTTTTATTTTTTTTAAAACCTGCAAAAATTATATAAACTGTTTTATTGATACCTTGTGCTATCTGCGAAGTTTCCGAGAATATTTTCAGTTGGCACAATATACATTTTCCACTTTTATTATTGAATAGTTCAATTGAAAAAAAAACAAAAACATTTAGCCGATGTTGTGAGTTTCCCCACTATGCGCTGGGACACTTAGCCTAAAAGTGAAATATCTGATCGCATTAATCTCACTGTATCTTTGCAAAGACGAAAAATATGGGTCATTTCACAGCCTGCCTACCTAATTCAAATCGAAACGTAAGATAGTATGATTACAAAGTCGAAAAAAAAAGAAGAAGCCTACAAAGATATGTGTTCGTTTTGGCCTGACATCGACCCCCAGAATGCCAAAATAACGAGATTGTATAGTCCAAACGGCCCAATATTTTTGAAGGCCACATTTTTTTTTCTTTCGATTTTGTCACCATAATATCTTGCGATTCAAATGGAAAGGAAATGGGTATTCATGAGTTTTTAGTACCTAATTAGATAGACAACGTTTGCCGATCTCCAGATTGCAAACGTCCCAATTTCCAGAATTTTCGTACATCGCCTAAATGTTTTCTTATTTTCAATTGAACTATTTAATAATAACAGTGAAAAATGTATATTGTGCCAACTGAAAATATTCACATTCAGGATTTAAACCGTTTCTGATTAGCCTCGAGAATCCTCAACGGTGTTGCCTAAACATGCTCGGTTTAACGGTTAAAATAATTTCACATTTTAAAATAAACGGTTTATGAAAAAAAAAATGTGTTACAATAATAAATAAGGAACAATCTTCACTTTCGTCTAATATGCGGCAGTGCGAATATTTCCCTACCTATCATTTAAAATCCCATTTTTTCTTAATAAAGTACAACTGTATCGCTTTTAAATTATTATATGTGGTTGACAATATTTTTTTTCCCATTTTTAGCGAGTTTAATTCGACATAGCGCTCAATTATACTTATTTTAAAATCTCGATCGGTTGTTACGTACAATAGATAAACTATGTTTACTAACTATGGTTATAAACTATGAATAAATAAAAGTAATTAATTAATATTCAATATTTTGAATGTTAATATGATTGTTTGAATAAATTATGTTAATTAAACTAGAACAGGCGAAGAGGTTTTTAGCTTCCAAAAATTCAGAAATTACAGTTATGAAAACTTTCCAAACATGTAGAAGACGAAATAGCAGGTCGTCGTCCGGTTGTTTTTCCGAGAATATCACATCAGAATTCATTGCTGATCATCATGCAAATGGAATACACTTGTGAAGACTAACATGGTTTGTATCTTTGACATCCGCCAGTTGAAAAATTATACGAATACTCATCCCATGAGAAAAAAATATTTATACAACATTTGATAATCTTATTTGAAATATAAAATTACCCATGCAATTTTCAAAATTATATAGAACAGCATCACACAAAGAATGATATACAATAGGAATAGTTTAAGTCCATAGCAGTTTTTATACAAGTTAATGTTGCTTTTCATAAATTATTCGTGGAACTTTATTGCCAGAGGCATGTAATCAAAAATTAAAGCTTGATAATGCTATGTTCCTGGCCTCGCGTTTCTACGGCGAGTAAGGGGTTCCAGGAACCACATTTATTTGTATTTATATGTATTTATATCGGTCCCAGAAGGGAACCGATCAACCTAAAATATATTAATGATGTATTTAAATGTTAGATACCACAGACCCCCTACTGTAGTATCCTAGATTGAACCATATACTCTTTATTGGATTTCCTTTCTAAAGGTATCATGTTTATAAATTTACTATTTGTTTCTATTACTAATTGGTGGCATGCAAGGTAGAATGTAAAAGTACTACGTTGGTTTACTAACTATTATATTTACAAGCTTTAATAAAACCAAAAACATCTATGTACAAAATAATAACTAAACCTATAACATAATGTTAGTTGCGAATCATACGAGAGGAGAATGCTTTGTATTTGATTAAAGTACGTGTTATATTGATTATATTAATTAATGATGTATGGTTGCCAACACAAATTTACATTAGTATGACTATATGCTTTTACCACTTAGCTGGTCCTTCAGAGTGTTTCTTGGTGTTTCTAGCCGTCATATCTGGATTCCCTGTCTCTGCTCTCCTTCAGCGTCTAGTCCGTCCATCTGCTCTCTCCGGCAGTCTCCATCTTCCTCCCTCGACTCCCCCGCTTGAAGTCCCCAGAAGAAGTCCTCTCAGCTCCAAGTTCCCAGAAGAAGTGTCCAGTCCAAATGCTCTATCTCCCACCTTTTTTCATCCCCCTCTCTTTTGGCAGCCTTTTTCCTGATTGGCTGAATATTCTCAGCCTAAGGGATGACCACGCCCTCTCCCCCAGGCCAAGGTAAAGCAGCAGGTACAGACTTAGGTATTTCTGGTGGAAGGTGTGAAAAGGTCTTTCGGGATCCTGTTTAAACACTTGTCGGTCTTTGTCGGTGGTCCTTAAGGGTTTTTATTACCACTTACAAAAGGTTGTCCTAATGGGTTACCCTCCCTCAGGTACCCAACCGCCAGATGTTGGGTTTATACCTAAATATGTTTATATTTAGGTAATACCTAAATTACCTTAATGTTTATTTGTTTATACCTTTAAACTAATTATTCCACCGACGGTCTTTACAATACATAGCATTAAATCTTAGATTGTTAAGTGAAATATAATTCACTTTTCATTCACTTAAGACTATAAAGTTCCATGTTACTCGTATTATACTTCAGTTTCATATGCAGAGTTATCCTGTTGGGTTACATTTGTTGCTAAAACAAAAAAAGCACTCTCTCTCTCTCGAATATTTTGACTATGAATAATCACCCCAAATAGAAACAAATATATTTTCAAAGGTCCTTATTGTGAGTGATTTGAAAGGTAAAAATACTTAAACAATTCCAATATGTGAATTATTTTTAAACCATAACTTGATAAGTGTAAACACCTGTTAAGAAAAAAAGTATACCTAAAAGCATTTTTTTTCTTTCTTAGGATGCTTTTAAGAACCACTTAAAAATCATTTAAAAAGGGAAAGGAGAGGACTTTCGGGCTGAAGTTCCGCAAAATGCTAAAATATAACCATTTCTTATGAATAGTTATATGTTATATGAACAGTATTATAAAACTGAGTTAATAACTACCTCTAAAATTATTGTTTATTATTATTGTAATTACATTTAATAGTACTTAAAGAATCACTTAAGCTCTATGTCATATTGGTAGTTAGTTCATTTGTTTTCCTTTTTAATTATAGTTATATATTTAGAAAAACAATCTTTCGGGCTGAAGCCCCTCCCCCAAAAACGAAATCCTGGATCCGCTGGTGCGTTGAATAAAACATGTATTTCTTTTCATAATAATAATAATTTATTATTATAATAATATTTTATTATTAATCTACTAGTTATCTTACCCGTAAAGTCCATGCTGGAAAAGTCTTCCCAAAGCCATTGGCTACCGTTGTACCTTCCTCCCAGCCAGTACACTGCGCTGGTCGAGTATCCTAGAGATTCCCTAATCTTGGTAACGATGAATCTGTCTTCACTTGGGCTGTGCACACTCGCCAGCTCTCCCTGCAGGAGAAATATAGTATAGAAAATGCCAAAGTAATTTAAATAATCAATAAAAAAGTAATAGGTATCGTGTAGATATATGATTTCATTATCTTGTATATAATTTTTGCTAGACTACTCCTTCAAATATTTTCGATTAACCAACAAAATATATTTTTTTCCTTTCACATTTAATCAATTAATTAAATGAATCAATTATTTTTTGTAAGTCGTGTATAAGTTGTGAGTCGTGCCATAATTTCTTTTCTTCAACTCTTACCACAGATAATTCATCAGCTTCAGATTCGGCATAAAAGATCTATATATCGATATAGCATTTTATGCTTTTATCATTTTTTATATTATATACAAATTATTTGGTGAGATATTATAAGCGACACATAGCTTTTATTTTTTATCCCATTTTCTCTAGAAAAATACATATTATTTTAAGTTAATAAACCTTTAAAATATTCATATATAAATATATATATATATATATATATATATATATATATATATATATATATATATATATATATAATTTAGATTTGGCCGTCTATTTAGATTCTACGGTAATCAGAAATAGTAGATTTTCGCCACTGCATATTATCCTCTATGGCCTATTATAAGTTATATTTCCATTTTGCTTCCTCACTACCGAAGATAGGGCAGTTTCGTGCAAGTGGTTACAAAAACTTTGTGCTCAAAATAGAAAATTTCTATTCGCGTTTTACATTTCAGATATCAAGGATCAAATATGGTTCGGTGTCTGTCTGTAGTCAAATCACCTACTATCGTTTATCCATATCACTTTATACATACATTTATCCAATTTACATACATTTTTAGGGATTTTGTGAGTTTGTGCTTAGGTAACCCCATATCAATTTTATCAAATTCCATTTAGCTCATCTGCTTACGCATGCCCAAACATATTTTTTTAGTTATGGAAATATTTCAGCTACGGCTCGTTCGATTTGGCTCAAAGTTAGTCAAAAAGTATGTAATGGTAAAAAAATAATTTAGTATCAATTTCATTGAATTCCGCCCACTTTATATATGCGCAAACGTGTTTTCCTTGATATGTCTATATCTCCAAAACAGCACTCACTTTCGATTTGGCTCAAATTCAGAGAGAAGTTAGGGATTGGTAAACAGATAATACAGTATGTATCAATTTTATTGAATTCTATCCACTACTTTAAAAAAAAATACTTCCGCTTTCAGATCAGGGGATGTATTTTTGACAAGCGTATAGTTTGAAACGGCTCGTTCGATTTGACCCAAACTAGGAGGAAATTTAGAAAATAGTGAGGAAGCTATATTGACCTTACTTGGCAGACTTTGTTCTAATATATATAGCTTTCCAACTGTGTACTTTATATTTATATTACTTATCTTATTTCCGGAACTTTTATCAAAATGCGAAAATATTTCTTCCATTTTTTGCTTGAGTTAATTAAAAAAGTCTGCCATAGCTCATATTACAGACATGCAGATTCTAAAAACACTCTTTCATCCGATAAATTTGATTTAAAAAAAATTTGGTGCACATCATATAACTTTCACTTATCAATCTTAGAGTAGCAAAAGGTATTTTCATATATGGGAAAGTCAAAGTGAAAACGACGGTATAACTTTATTTATTTTTCTAACTCCTCTTGATTTATTTGACTTCTGCCATTAGTCTTCTAGCAGCTACATAGCTGTTCAAGGCGACAACTGTGCTAGTTTGGATCATATAACTTTATTTAAAACAACTAATTGCCATATTTTTTCCGCCCATCGAAATCGGTTAAATTTATACCTTTGGATCATTTTCCATTTCCTTTTACGAACGTGTATAGAATAAAAAACGCTGCAAATTATTCCACAATGGTTTATTATTTCCAAACAATTATACATCTAAAGTAACATTACCTTCTAGCTACAAAGAAAAATAAATAAAAAAGTGATTCCAATTATTAGACTAAACTATTTTTTTTAATCATTAGTAATATGCTAAAAAAAATAGCATTACTTCAGTAACACATTCAAAATTTAAAAACCAAACAAAGGATATAACATTTGGATTAGAACATATAAAAAAAAACCGGAGACCATATTTTTGCTCCTAATTGTCCAATTTTAAAGATTTTTTTCTTGTTTTTTAGGAAATTTCGTAAACTTTTAAAAAACCAATACAATTACAACAAAAAAGTAAAAACTTTTCGAGTTATTCGGAATTTAATTTTACCATCCCTCGTAAATTTTTTTTCAGCTTATTTTCGTTGAAGTATGTTATATAGATAAATTTAAAGGGCGTAGAGAAAATGACTTTAGCGAAGTTTCATTGAAATCGCTACATTCGTTTAGGCGCTACAGTCTATAGTAATACAGGTTTTTCGGCCGCCATTTTGAAAGTAAAAGGCGGATAATAATGTCGATGAAGGAGGATCATCCTTGGGTGACCTCTGATTTTATATAAAAATTTGAAAAAAATCGGCCCAGTAGTTTCGGAGAAAATGCGCGGACGGCGGACGGACAAAAAAGTTTTTATTCGTTTTTCGAATTCTACGCATCCTGAAAGGTGAAACCTCAAATTTTGAGAGGGGGTTAAGTTTTTGAATTTTTTGATCGATCACAATGGTTGATTATTGAAAATAATAAACCAAAAATACTAATAATTGTGGAAAAAAAAAGGATCTTTTGGAAATATTTTCGTCGAAAGCATAAATTAATGTTAGTAAATATTGTATTATTAGGTTTATAACCTTTTAAATAAATTATAGATAAATAATATATATAAGGTTAACTAACAATGTGAAAGCTACACAGGGTTGTACCGGGTATGTGTAAAGAGAGAGGTCAGAAAGATCAGGCGCTCTCGGCTGTTTTCGTGTAGATTCCAACCCTAATTTCTCCTTTGTTTTATCAATCAATTTTCTTCATCAATTATATTCAATGAGTTTTCATATCACATTCAAATGTGAAACGGTTAATTATTTCAAATTAAAAAAAAATTATAGGTACTTTGGAAGAAGAAATTTTGAAAATTAGGCATTTTGATCTCGTTAGTGAACATCAATGAGAATAAGACCTACATCATATTTAAAACCTCCTAAATTTTACACCAATATAACGAATTTCATAAAAATCGTTGGAGCCATTTTCAATAAAATTGCAAAAATGTGTGATATAATTGTACGAAATCGATGAAATAAAGTGGCACTTCCGGTTAATCGATTTTGACAAAAAAGTTTCAGCAACATCCCAGGTAATTACGAGCTTTAAATACGCAACTGTAGTTGCGTACGACTTTTCGTTTTTGAGCTAACACTCACAGTCACACACCGCGACCATTTTGCGAGACTTGGTTATTGGACTCAGGGGACCTTAAAACATGTATTTCCGTTTAAAACTCAGGATCGAAAATTTACACAATTACAATACTTTCCCTTACTATAAACCCATTACATATAAATAAATAAAGGTAAGCGAAAGTAAAAATAATATTAACAGAATTAAGAGATGTGCTACCAATGTGTAGTTTCTCTCCGTGGTGTACATATCATATTACCAATTCAAATTTACTAGTTGTATTTGTATCTAGCACAGTTGTAAATTTCAATAAATATATTAAAAAAAGAATAAAACAATTAAAAACCAACTGTTCGGTCGCATGCCAATTCTCAACACACCATGATTCAATTACGCAACTATCAAAACATTTAAACTGTTTACCTTTAAAAAATACTCTAACTTTAAACGTACACTAACTTAAGATTTTTTTATAGACGTTTTAAGTGCTTTCAAGGAATACCCTCTTCAAATTTGATGAAAATTAAAACAAACCATTTGGTTTTGGCTGCGATTTATTGCAAAATTTATATAAAATTGTATAACGCATTTGATCGTACCGCATAAAAGGAAAGCTAAATCCCAAATGGTGGAAAAACAAGAACAGGATTTTGCTTGGGCAAGATCAATTATAAAAATTGCACAAAGTTATAGTGACGGTTTATGATATATGGAGTTAGGTAATGGAGAAATAAGAGGAAGGCTTTGTAACAGGTAAAGAGCGATAAGGACTATACGGAGGATTTAGGATTACGAGATTCGAAGGATTTATGTTCTTGTTCCTTACATTCTTTTTCTGGAGTTGGGATAGCCTGGGTCCATATCCTTTTTAAATCTTTTTATTTTGTTAAAGGAAGTTAATCAAACCCGCTGTTGCGACGTTCTACAAATTATTCATGCTGATCATAGTAAATAGTTTATAATGAATTGTGTACAGTGTAAATTATGGTGTATTAGTAACTCAAAAGTCATTACATTGAAACAGAAAAAAAAATTCTGTAACCGCCGTTTCCGGGATTTATAGGTCTCGCCAGAACTAGACCAGACGGCCATTTCATTATTCAAATAGCTAATCTATTTTATACAGCTACAGTTATACCTATGTTAATGTGTGGTCCACGCATCAGACTATAATAAGGAGAAAATCCTGTGAAGTTCAGGAAATTGAACTCGGATAGATGATAATATAAATTTGTAATATTTTACTTATGCAATATTAATTAATATATGCATATTAATCAATAAATCTTTATTTGTTTTGAGGTAAGAAACCCCATACAAATAGAGTCTATCTCTGTACTACAATTATTATTACACTTATAGTATTTACTCCCCTTTTTGTATTGCATGAGAAACACTAAAACAATCCTAGGACTCAATTACAAATAATAGCATATATCTATATTTTGCTTATTTATTTATAAGATATATATTTCAGTCAAGATAAATTTGATACCTACAATAGTAATGGGCAAATATGATAATAAGGAATAAAAAAAAAAACACAAGCAAGGATGAATATGATAATAGGAAATAGTAAAAAATAAAATAATAGTGAATTACAAAAATAAACTAAAGAAAAAAATTATAAAATAAAAATAATAAGATAGTAAGCAGCTCAGTGCAGAAAGTCTCTTGGCCAGCACTTCAGCAGTCGTCTGACGGATTATATGGATTTG